TGTCCCTGCACGGCATAGCCCATAGCTTCTCAGAATTACTCAAGCCCCTTCGGCATGACAAGGCAGCAATCCGTGAAGGGATGTCTGGTGTTACTCCATTACAAATGAAGTGTTTTGTGAAGTGTTATACTGTTAGAAATGATGGGGCCAATTCATCTATGTAGTTATAATTCTGTGTACTGGTCCCTGTCTCCTCAACAACATTATTTAAAGCTTCACTCAGTAAACTGATTAAATCCCACTGGTGTTGAATGGATATAAGAAACCTAAGAGTTTGCGGAATAATATTTAAACCATCTTTGACTCTTATTTTTCCAATTCATTCATTGTGTCCCCACAATAGGTATTTTTTATGTTCTGTTACTGTTTTTAGCATGTGTCGGCACAACTGGATTTACCTGACCCCTGCGTGTTAAGTTTGTTCTCTGAATTTCCTATATGATGTCTTAATAGTTCTGTTTTGTAGTTATCAGCTGATTCCTATTGATCCCTCTAGGCTTTCACCCTCCAATGTAAGAAATAAATCAACAAATATGCTATTGAATAAGGATTGGTGTTGTGAAATTTCTACATGTCAATATTGGCAAACTAGAGGTGAAAAGCTTGTCTGGCACTTTGTCAGTTCCCAGAACTAACCTGTGTTTCATTTAGAGCCATAAAAAGTCCAGCCTCCTGGATTTAGCACTTAGGAAGATAATGAGTATTTCAAGCGCATGTTTAAGAAGGACGAAGGCAGAGACCTTTTGCTTGTGCAGCTTCAGCTGTATTCAAGAGGACTTAGCACAGATGGATTGTGCATTACAAAATGTAACACATAATTCAAGCTGTCAACTTAATCAGACTGTTTCCAGGAAGCAACCTGTAAAAGAGAAAGACCCCTTGTTTGCTGACCCCTGATCCATAGCCTGCTGCATCATGTCATCCATTTTGCTTTTCTTTATTTATGTGTCCCTTCCTTTCCCTCCTTTTTATTAATGTATTCCCTTCAAGTGGCACCCTGGAAAGACCACCCAGAGGGAGGAGCACAATAGGGAATGAGCTAGCTGAAATAGAGATTTTGTAAGACTTCAGTGCAATGAAAAGGGCTGTTGAACTGCCTGTGTGTTCTCACTGGCTCAATGCGCGCTAAGTCTAAACTTGAAAACTTCACTCCTGCACAGTCTTCATTTTCCACTGTTCTCAGTCACTGTTGTGGAAGTGCATTGCAGTGGTGTTCAATAGTTTGCATGAATATTTCACAGTTTTATGTGGGCAAGCTGTAGATATTTTTAAAACCTGGGTAAGCCTATTGAACCTAGTAGTAGTAGTACGGTTTATAGGCAGCTGTGTGTTTGCTTTGTAGAGTTTTACTGTTGAATGCTGGAACAAAGAAAGCAGCCTGAAATAAAAATCTGAATAGCTATTTACACCTCTATAAAAGGATTAGCAATGCCCCATTGTTAAAATGCTTAAATTGTAATTTGCATCAATATAGAGGTATTGCTTCCCTACAATCCCCTTTTGGTCCCAGTTATGTTTTATACCTGTAGGGGGCCACTAGCCTTTTCCATTCATGTAGGTATAAGGTACTTTTTTAAAAAAAATTGTAATTGTCTTAAATTAAGAAAAGGCTAAATGCCAAATTATTTGTGCTGTCCTTTGCAAATCACAGATCATTTTTCTGGCTTGTCTCCAAGATATCTTTTCAGTCTCTAATTATCAAATATTAACAAGTGCAGCAGTATAATACATGTACAGTAACAATGTCTCCCTGACCCCAAGTGAGGTGAGAAAAGTACAGTATGTCATTTGGCCTGAATCAGCCTTGCAGGAAAGGACCATCATTTTATTTAATCAAATTTTGCTACAAATACGGTTTTTCTTCAGCTCCATGGCCTCTATAAGGCAAGAACTTGAGATTCTGACAGAGCTCAAAACACTCTCTCTCCCTTTCCTGTAATATTTGGGAATATTTGGCTTGGGTGGTAAATAACTTCCCTCTGAATTTCCCACTTCTGAACAACTGCTTGGCTTCTGAATGAGAACTCACAATTTGACTATGTCACCTTCTGCATGATTTTGTTACAAGGAAAAAAGATGGGGCCTTTATTTTCACTAATAAACCTGTGTCAGCTCTAATGCTTTGCAATAGTGTAATGAAAGAAGATACTCTAGGCTGGGAGAAATTATAAATTTTTTATCGAGCATTATTGTAGATGCTATTTAGTCTCAGAAATGAGACTCCATAGCAGATAGAAGAGGAAAAATATGTAAAGGTGCTATAGCTGATCTTTATGTACATGCATGTATTTAGATAATGCTGATAGTTTTCAAGTTTTTCCAGGGATATTGCCATATCCTTTTTCCAAGAATTCTGCCATGCAAAATTAAAAATGTAACATTGGTACTGTGCACATACATTATATTGTTTTTTTTAAAAAAACATATAACACATTTTGGGGGGTAGAAATTTGTTTTATAGTCTCTTATGCAATTTCTAGAATCTGTGTTCCCCCCAGGGTAAAATTAGATGAGACAGAAGCAGTGGATTTTATTGATGTGTATATTTATTTATTTGTTTATTTATTTATTTATTTATTTGATTTATACCCAGCCTATCTGGGCAACTTCTCCACTCTAGGTAGCTAAGTATAAGTTTATAGAGGAAGGGGATCAGGTGTGGTTTTTACATCAAAGGACATACAGGCGATATGTATGCAGTTAGAAAGTACTCAAAGAAATCCTGTCTACCCAATTCACACTTAAATGCTTTTCTTTTTTCTTTTTAAATACCATTTTAATACTTGTAAACAAATACATATTGGTTTTTATTTCTGCAGAGAATGTTTATCATTTGAAGGATTTTCTCATCTTTTGACATTCATAGAAGAAATGGTGGTTGGCTCAGCTTCTGACTGCCCATTGTTCTATCAGAGCAAAGCTGTGAATGCTGCAGAACTGGACACCCTTATAAGGTTTAATGATTAATTTCATTTATTTTTGGAAGAGTTAGTGTACTGTCTGTTTTTATTTTTTCTGGATTTAGTAACTGTGAGTCTACTCAAGTTAGAATCTTGGGTTACTTCCACTTTGATCAGAACTGCTTAAGATAATGATGTAAAAGATACGTGATATTCCCTTTTTCTGATAACATTACTGTACTAGTGTTACTGTCTATGCAGGGTTTCTGCGATCAGCTCTTAGACAAAGATGGTCTGATGAAGAAAATCAATAATAATATTTCTATTCCTAAAAAAGGACTTGACAAAGTTGTTTCTGCACCGGGGACACACTTGACTTTACCCCTCAGCTACCACACTTCTGCTAACTGATAAAGTGGCCCTTATTCTTCTGCTATGGATGACTAAGTCAGTGGCAAAATAATAGTAGAAGTTGAAACTAGCTTTTGGGAACACTGTTAGCTCAAATATTTTCTTAGCCACAAACTATCTTATGTGATTATGGTTAAGGACAGCTTCATAGGTGTTAATATAGTAGTTAAGGTTTATAGACATAACTAGATGGACAGTAGAAAAGGTTTTTCACTCTTTTTTAGCAATTTTGAAATTATAGCTCTTGATTCATTGATGTTGCAGTTTCAGCTATTCAGATATTTCTACTTGTGCCGTTTATTCAGATGGACAGTGTAAGGTGGCAATTACGAGGTACAAATGTTGATTTTATAGGTCTCCCAAGGTAGAATTAACTTTTGTTTGAATATGGCTAAACATGCATTGAGTTTCACAGGGGAACACTTTGGAGTGTCAAGATCTCTCTTTAAGAGACAAGTTTACATGGCAACTTCTCCTTTGTGAATAAATGTGAGAGTCAGATGTCCAACTAGAACTGTTTGGGGAAAATTTTGGTCTACCTTGTACATGCAGCTCAATGTTTATGCCGCTGTTGACAACTTTGTTTTGGTTTCGTGTGAAGTGGCTTTTAAAAAAACTCTTACCTTACCTTGTTCAGCCTTTCTTCACCCAACATTGACTTATGAGCAAGGTCTCAGAAGAGAGAAAAACAACACTTTGATTTAAAGCAAAACATTATGCTTGGAGCTATGCCATCCAAAGCATGGGGATACAGATCACAGATCAGTCTCATCCATCTTTGCTCCAAACATGGATACATTGATGCATCCTTTTTGTGGCTTATCTTCCACTCCATACAAATGGGGTAGATAAACTCAATTCCTGAATCCTCCAAAAAGAAAGCACACTGCTTACATAAGATTAAGCCTTTTATACAAAAAGAGATTTGCTTGACTCTATGCATTGACTGGACCAGGCTGGTAAAGTTTATGTAGCTACCAATACAACTGTGCTGCCAGTACAGTGGGGTCTCTACTTAAGAACGTCCCTACTTAAGAACAATCCAACTTAAGAACAGCTCCATTTGCTAAATTTTGCTTCTACTTGAGAACAGAAATCCAAGATAAGAACAGGAAAAAAAACTTTCCTGCTCTTTTTTTAACCTTAGGTCATCTTAGGTTAAAAAAAAATTCTCCTCCTAGTGGTAGAGTACGTATTAACCAGCTTTGCATTAGTTCCTATGGGAACTAATGCTTCAGTGTACGAATGCACCTCTACATAACAAAAAAACAGCCAGAACGGATTAAATGGTTTTCAGTCCATTCCTATGGGAAATGCAGATTCAACATAAGAACTTTTCAACTTGAGAACCACCTTCCAATACGGATTAAGTTCTTAAGTAGAGACCCCACTGTATGCTGTCTGCAAGTGTTGACACTATTGAAGCTTGTGTTGTATTTTAGCTCTTCTGTACCACTAGTGATGTGCTATGTAGGGAACTGGGTAACTGCTGAGGTTATGCTGTAAAGTTTATTTAGGGTGGAAGTTAAGGTACACAGTAACTTCTTGCCTTTAATCCAAGACTTATCCCTGTTTTGGGAATCCAACTTAAATTTCGTTCCTTCTGGCCTAAAGAGAGAACTCCAGGGAGATGAGCAAATGGGTCTTTTTACCATCACATGGAGCATACAACTTCTGTGAGTCCAGGAACCATTGTTTCTCTTCATTGGATCTTTGCATGTCATGCCTCTTCTCTCTGCCCTCTGCCCTGCAGTCTTCAGAAACCTCTGGAAGGGTGTGATTTGTCATCTAAATTTAATTTTAGCCCATCCTGGGCCTTTCTTATGATAGAAAATACCTTGGCCTTTCTTGCAAGCAGTACATTAAAAAATCCCCCCACACACACACACATACATGTCTACTTTTGGGATGATTATATTTAGAGGGCAAATCACACCTTTGGAATCTTACTGTGATGGCGTTTTCTGTCTGGAATAATAAAAATATGGAGTCCCAGAGGTTGGAATGCTCTGAGGAGTGTACCTGGGGCCTTAAGGACACACACTGCCATTTCCTGCTAAAATAGATCAGGTTGTATTCCCTGACATGTGTGAAAGCTTTTAGATGGCACTTGTTGTTCTGAGAACTTTTTTTTTCTGTTTATGGATTGCTCTTACTTACTCTGTGAGGTGCCCTCTCCTCAAGGTAATGTTTCTCTGTTTGATGAAGATCCAATTTAAATGCAGATAAGTTATTTAATGGCTCATTATAAACACTTAGGTTCCATAAATTGTTTATGTGTAGTGCCTGATTTGTTATGTCTTTCAAGAATAGTAAATAAACCCTTACCTATACTTCAGCAATCTGGTGATGAAGTTCCTTGAAGTGATAATGTGGCGGAGACAATCTGGTTGCTTCTGAGCCATGGATGACCTTATGAATGTGTCCACAGATTGTTGAAATATGAAAGCATTTATTTTTGGTACTGGAGCTGATCTTCCTTGATTCCATCTTAGCACAGTCTCATAATAGTTACATAATAGTTACAGTGACACTCCAGTCGACATCTCTGTAGGCTGCATTCTTGTCCTACACAGAGGTTGTTGAAAGAGTTATGTATGTTTTGAAGGGTACTGAGAATTCTTATTTGTTAGGCTGAATTCCTAATCTCCCTTTGGTTGCTAGTTAAAGCAAGTATGAGGAGTATATGGTATTGATCTAGAATTGACTCTTTACAAATGTCCCATAGCATTTCTTCCTAAAGAAACCTAATTGGGTGTGTTACCCTACCTGACTGAATATTAAGAGTGTAAGTGCAGTGTTCACCTGAGAAGGGGATGTTTAGGTTGATGGAGCTCAAGAGATAACCTTTCATACAGCAGTACCACAGAGAAGAAGCTTATTTAGTTAGTCTCTTTAACTCTTTTCATTAGAATTTATATGTAAGTAAATATAAAGGCTTATGTAAACATTTCATTAAGTACCTACTTTTGTTGATAGCCTCTGTAATGAATCTGGAAGCTTGAAACGAGAAGACCTTGAGATATGTGAAGCACTTGTCCTTCATCAGCTGCAGAGATTATTACAAAGTATGGAAAACAAATGCCTTTTACCAGATAATGCCTTTAATAGCAAAAGCGAGACACTGGATGAAAATCAATCCAGGTATGATAATTGTTAAGACTTGTACAATTAATATTCTTGTGGTGGTGGAGAACCTTTGAGGCCTCCTGCCTTCTCAGCCGGGGAGCCCTTGACTTGGGTTGGAGAGGTCAAAAATCATGGCCAGGACAGAAAGCTGTTTCCCCCAGAGTGGGGCTAGTCACTCTGTGACCTCGGCATGCAAGAACTGGAAGAGGCTTCTGCCACTTAACATCAATAGATCCCCAATTTTGGGTTTGCCAAGGAAAGACTGCAGCTTGGTCTACAGGACAAGGATCGCCATGGCCTGAGCCAGACTGTGTCACTGAGCGAAATTCTGTGGGGCTGTGATCCTCTACTGTGAGCTGTTGAAGGCCTCTGTTCTGCCAAGTAGGAGTTCCACTTGGTGCAGACATCACACACCTGTAGTGCTTTGGAGAATCTGACAACTGCTTCTTCTACAATAGGGAACCAGCCTTTAAACTGGGCAAGAAATGGCCTGTGATCCTGTTGCAGCTGTTCAGGAGCTCACACAGCTGTCTTGCCACCTTGTCATCATGGGCAGGCTGCTCTGATCCCAGATGTAGGGCAGGGTTTACTAAAAAGTGAAAGATGTGGGCAAAGCAATGCATGTTGACAAAACCTACAGTCCCGACTACAGAAACCATATTAGCTCCATTTTCTGTGGTCATAAAGTCCTGTTTGGGGTGTGCATGTCATTACATTATTTCACCAAGAGGTAACATCTCCTGGAAAGTCAGTATGATATTGTCCCCTGTGTACCTCTTCTCCATCATTTGAATGTGGAGCAGAAGCCAGCAATAACCTGGTGGCCTTCTTTCTCTCTTTCTCTTCCCCCCAACTACCTTCAGCCAGATTGCCTCCTTTCACACCCATCAGTGCTCAGTGAGTGAGGGGAAAATTTGCCCCCCACTCCAGCTTGTCATCTGGTGTGAGATGACATTTATGGTTCCACATTCTTGGTCTATTGCTTTCTGAGCCACTCTTGGGCACCATGATACAGGGTGGGCAAAACCATCTGACTCATAGTGGACCTGTATGGCATGTAATAGGAGAGGAAGCCAAGGAGCCAGTAGAAACCCACCTGTAGCCTCTGCATTACTTGCACCCCCCATACCCATCTGCACAAAGCCAAAAAACAAAACTCCACACCTCCTGTCTGCTCCTGTGCAGGGCAAACATCTTTCATGACCAGCAAACCACCCCCTGCTCCCTATCCACTGGAGTTGGCTTTCTGTTGCTATCTCACCATATTAATAGCATGCTAGCCTCAAGCTCAGCATCCTCTGCCCTCTGTGCCACAGAATGGGTAAATTCTAGTGCCATCTCATGCCACAATTAGTCAGGTACCCAGATCCTTCTTCCTGCTCACTTGGGCCTTGCGCAGTTTGCACATGGCAAACCATTGGTCTGCCTCATCCAATCTGAAATTTTTCTGGAGTCAGTGGTCCTTTTGGGACCACAGGAGGAAACAGCAGGAGCAGGTGCCAGCAGACCCTCCCCCAGGAGACACTGCAGGCCTGGCCCTGACATCAGGGACATGGGAATGGTTTAGAGCAGCAGTCCCCAACCTTTATAACCCCGCGGACCAGTTCGGGAAGGTGGGGCACCTCCCCGTGCTCATGCACACGTGCGAAGGGCAGCACAGTGGTCAGGGGCACTTGTGCACATGCACAAAGGGGTGGGGGAGCGCTCGTGTGGGCGCAGGTATGTGTGCACATGCACAAAGGGGCTGTGCAGGGGGAGGTCTGTCTCCGCAGCCCGGTCTGGCTCAGACCACGGACTGGCACCAGGCCGTGGACCGGGGGTTGGGGACCTCTGGTTTAGAGGGCTGTATCAAGAGGAGGAGGAGGAGCAGGTTTGTCCTCCAGCACCTGCTCCTCTTCACCTGTATGAAAACCGCAGAGGGCTCCTCAGAGGCAGACCAGACACTGCCATGCATGGCTAGGGCAGCTGGAGGCCAGAGATAACATGTATTTCCTCTACAGCCTCCTGGCCTAACACGCTTGAGTGCTGACAACCCCAACCCCAGGAAGGTCCACTCTCTCTGAGCCTGGGGCAAGGCGGGGGGGCTGTTTGCTACTGCTGCATTCTGTTTCCTTCCTATGAGAAACAGAAAGTGAAGCCTGTGTAGGAAGGCTCCAGGTTCTCATCCCTGGAGTAGGATTAGCCGGGGGGGGGGATGGGGAGTAGGCCCTTATATTGCCATATTGGTGCTAGGGACAGAGTCCTGATCCATTAACATGAGCCCTACAGGGCTAGGAGGAGCACCAAAGTCTGTTCTCCTCCTGCATGCTCTGTTCCTGGCAGTCACAACACAACCATTATGTACCCTACCTGTCACCTCTCCCTACGCCTGGCCTGACCTGACCTGTACAAAATATAGAGCCAAAAACCAAAGTGTTAGATCCAGCACAAAGAAAGAAACACAGACAACAGCAGCCTTGCACACAACACAGCCCAAGCAGCAGTCTAGCTAGCCAGCAGCCACGCAGCTGGCAGTAAGCAAACCAACTACCCACTTAATCAGTCTGTCCTGTTGATCACCTAGAGTATCTAAGGGGGAAATCTTCAAATCTAGGCCAAATCTCTAGTCAACGCAACATAAAAGCAGAGAAAGTCTCTGTACATGAGGCAGGCCGTACAAAGATGCTCCTCCAGCCAGGAAGAACCACCCACCATCAGTGGCGGTCAGAGCAAAAACCAAACTGCCGTGTCCTGAGGCACACACTGGTATTTGCTGGAATGTCAGTGCGGCAATTTTACATGCAAGGGTCAAATGTAGGCAATCTGTACGACGTCTGATGTTTTCATGATCCTCTCCTCCAGAATTCGGAATCTTTTGGGATTCAGAAGCTTTCTATTGGAAAGCAACAAAAGAATCTAATAACAAAATCAAGTACCTCATTCGTGTTTCTCCCCCATTTGAATTTAACCGAAAGTCCCATCCCTGTTTGTGAATATTAACTGATGTTGGTTCCATGTGTAACTCTTTGTTTGAGGCTGAGGTCTAGCAACAGTTATTTAGGCATTCACAATCTTAAAGTTTAATGTGTTAACCCTGTATTATCCCTATTTGATTGTTACTTCTAACATGACTATGAGGAGAATCACATTCCTACAGGCCCTATTCCAAGCTATCCCACTAAGGGTCGCACGGAGAGCCTACTTTATGCTCATTGACTCCTCCATCACGTACAGCCCTGATTGTGCATGGTTCTGGATCATGGAAGGATCTTTTTCATATGAAAAGGACTTGCTTCTGAATGGGTTCATACCCTTCCTGAGTTTTGTGTATGACTCTGATAACAGAACAAGAGCAGGAGTTCGGATTGTATGGTCAAGCTAATATTAAAATATGGTAAGGGTTTAAATCTTTGCAACATTATGTATTCTTGAGCTTTAAAATTAAATGAGGCTGCACATTTCATTCCTGTGCAGATGTCTCATTAATTATAATCAATCTATTACCCTTGTATCTTGCTTCTCCTCTTAGAGTGGCATAGGTTATCTCATGATGTCTTTGGAACTGTAATATAAGCTGTATGGTTGATGTAAAATTCAAGTCCAGCACTGTTTGCTACACTGTAGTAGCTAAACACAAATGCTCTGTTCCTAACCATACAATATCTTGGGACAAGGTCCTTGGAACAAGCTGTTATTTCAGTTCTTTTCTAGGTGGCTATTTAGACAGAGAGGCATTTTAGAAGGAGCCTAATGTCTGTTTAAAAAAAAGGCACCATGAAACTTTCAGGGTAGTCATGTATTTTTATTAATATATGCTCTTTTGCTTATGGTAGTTATATTACATTTCATCTTCCTGTAGGCCTGAACTGACATCGTATTTCACACGTTTATGTAAGCATGCCTGGCTCTTACAAAAGCACAACGTTTCCGTGGAACAAGAGGTGAAATACTTGTTCGATAGCTTGCTGATTTTACAGAGGCTTGAACAAAGCGACCAGGTTAGTGCTCGCATCATTTGCCTATTTGGCTGTCTAGGGTGAATGACTGACATCTAGAGAAAGGTCTCAGGAGGGGAAACTTTAAAAATTTTAATGTACATATAAATTATGTTTACTGAAAAGAAGATATGCTTAGATATTCAAATGATGGGCTATGCACACCATTTTCAGTGTCTTAAATATACTAGTCAAGTCAGAACTCACAGTGGCTTTCTGAGGTTTCCATGATAATTCGGGATGAACAGACCTAGACTTCTGTCTCTCTTGACAGAACATTTTGCTTACATTCTTTCAGGAATAAGCTTGAATCCGATTGGATACACTTCAAAATGAGTGCCTGTTGAGTTGTCGCTGTAATTGTAGTTTAGAGCTCTTGTATATCACAGATATTCAACTTTTCTTAAGGGCCACATCATTTACCAAATCCTGGAGTTCATGCCAGAATTATCAAATCCTCATAGTTGGTCAGGATCTCTAATAAAACTAATGTCACTTAGCAAAAAGAATTTCACAGATACAGAAATCAAGTACTGTGATGATACGGAGCAATTACATGAAGAAAGTTGGGGTAAGGAGTGTGCAATTAAAGTGGTGACAATGACATTTTGCTTTTCCATAATGCCGGTGAAGCAACAGAGCATGAAAAATACGAAACACAAAATTGGGTCATTTGTTGCAGAATATTTGAAGGGAAAAGCAAGGCAGGCAGAACCAAAGCTCATTTTTAAAGGTTCAGATATGTGACTTAATTACATTTTTATTGTGATACTGCTAAATGTTGTGGCAACATAACACTTTTCAAAGTTTCTCTTGCCTGACACTCCTCCCCCAAAGTGCAAATACTGTACCTGTATTGTATTTGTTTTTTCTTATAATGCTGTTTTATTCTTGTTTCTGTAGGCCACATCATTATTGAAAGAGAGCTTTCCAGAAGCATATGAAAGCAAGTCACTAGCTTTTAGCAGTAAAACCTCTTGTAATTCACAAAAGAATAATAGTCTAAAAAAGCAAGGTAAATATTCACACTGACTTGGACTATTGTTGAAAAGGCAATTGTAGTTTTTCAAATAATTCATAGTCCGCTGCAGTTCTGATTACATCAGGTTATGATGTGTGACAGTAAAAACTGTGGAAGATATTTGTGCCCTTCTAGCAACTAAGGGACCTTGAACAAGTATGGGCGTGTGGTAGGGATAAAAATGTATGCTAGCTGTGGTAGGGATAAATTTTATGCTAGCCTGCACATATCAGTTGTTTAAATGAATTGAATTTATGGTCAAAGACCAGGACCAAACAAATTGTACATTACACAGCAGAACGTAACAGACAATGTACATTATGGCAAACAATACATCCACAAAGAATGTAAAATTTATGTCACAGTTATCCAAAACCAGAGTAAAACATGACTGTGTTATCAGAGAACAGCAGCATAAAACTTAGTGACCATTAGTAATATGGAGGACCTGATCAGAAAGAAACAATTAGGTTGTTTAAATGCAGGATTATATGTGTGGAGCACTTTGAACTGTTGAAGTAAATGGAACAATCCTTGCTTTTTCAAAGCTCCATGGATGCTGTGGAACCCTAACCCTCTGAGATGAAAACATGTGTGTATTTGAGTGAAATGCTTTTGTCTATGGCTTATAGTGGTGTTTTCCTCTGTGTTTTTCAAAAACTAATGTCTTTCCTATTCCAGGTATAAATTAGAACTGAAATACTGTGTTAGAATTATAGAGTCATAGACTAATGGTGTTTATAAGGCCATTGAGTCCAACCCCTGCTCAATGCAGGGATCCAAATAAAAGTATATCGGACAGATAGTTGTCCTACTTTTTCTTGAATGCTTCCAGTGCTGGAGCACTCAGCACCTCCTGAGGTAATTGGTTCTAATGTTGTACTGCTCTAACAGTTAGGATATTTTTTTCCTGATATTCAACCAAAATCTCTTCCTGTAATTTGAGTGCATTGTTACTTCTCCTCCACTCTGGGATGATTGAGAATAAGTCCTGCTCCTCCTCTGTATGACTCTCTAAAATATTTGAAGAGTGCTGTCATATATACCCTCAGTTGTCTTTTCTCAATGCTAAATATTCCCAGTTCTTTCAGTCTTTCCTCATAGGGCTTGGTTTCCAGTCCCCTGATTGTCCTTGTTACCCTCTTCTGAACTTGCTCGAGTTTGTTGCCATCCTTCTTAAGATTGTGGTGTCCAGAAATGGACACAGTACTAAAATGAAGCCAACTAAGATCAGGCCACAATACTCAAGATTGGGCCCAAATAGAGGGGAACTAGTACTTCATAGGATTTGGACATTATACTTCTTTCAATGCAAACTTTTTTGCAGCTGCATTGTACCATTGGCTCTTATTTAGTTTGTGATCTACAACAATTCCAGGATCCTTCTCTCATTTATTATTACTGAAGCAAGTATAAGACATAAGACATAAGAAATAGAGGGGAACTAGTACTTCATAGGATTTGGACATTATACTTCTTTCAATGCAAACTTTTTTGCAGCTGCATTGTACCATTGGCTCTTATTTAGTTTGTGATCTACAACAATTCCAGGATCCTTCTCTCATTTATTATTACTGAAGCAAGTATAAGACATAAGACATAAGAAATTTATTTGTCATTGCGCTCACAAGTGGGTGCAACGAAATGAGGTGCTCTTCCCCAAGGTAAAACTGGACAACACTACAAAAAAAAGTTAAAATATACACAACTTTCACCATCCAAATATAGATACCCCGTTTTCTCTCAGCAATTAAAATTCCACCAAAAACCTATGGCCCCGCATTTAAACTCAATACTGCACTTGGGTAAAAACTGTTCTTGAATCTGCTTGTCCTTGCTTTCAATACCCTGAATCTCCTTCCTGATGGTAATAGTTTAAAGAGCTGATATCCCGGATGAGAGGAGTCTTTCAGTATGTTAGATATCTTCCTCTTACATCTGTTCTTATACAATTCTTCCAAAGAGGGGAGTGAACAGCCAATGATGTTTTGGGCCGTCTTAATCACCCTTTGAATAGCCTTTTTCTCTGCCACTGTGCAGCTTGTGAACCATACACAGAGACAGTAGGATAATATGCTCTCAATCGAACTCCGATAGAAGGTGATCAACAAACTCTCAGTCAATTGTTGCTTTCTAAGAATCCTTAGAAAATACAACCGTTGTTGTGCCTTCCTGATTAACGCAGCGGTGTTTGCACTCCAAGTCAGGTCATTTGTTATGATAGTCCCAAGAAACTTACATTCAACCACCTGTTCCACACAAACTCCATCTATATACAGTGGCTGAATGTCTGCTCTTTTTTTCCTATAGTCCACTATGAATTCCTTGGTTTTTTGGATGTTAAATAAAAGATTGGTTTTTTTTATTACTGGGATGGTTATTGGTGCAATCTGATGAATAAATGGAGAACAGTAGTGGACTAAGGACACAGCCTTGTGGAGTGCCAGTGCTGAGTATCTTGTCAGTAGAGATGTAGTCATTCAGTTTAACCCTTTGTGGACGATTTGTTAAAAAATCCCAAATCCACAGACAGATAGAATCTGGAAAATCAAGATCTTTAAGTTTGTCTATTAATCTGTGGGGTATAATGGTGTTAAAAGCAGAGCTAAAGTCCGCGAACAGCATTCTTACATAATTCCCTTGTGTTTCCAAGTGGGATAAAGCCATATAAAGCACAGTATTGATCGCATCCTCGGTTGATCTATTTTCTTTATAAGCAAACTGAAGCCCATCAAAGGGATCAGGAAGGCAGGAGATAATATATTTCCGAACTAACTGCTCAAAGCACTTCATTAAGATTGAAGTTAGTGCCACCGGCCTGTAGTCATTCGGACTGTTTGTAGGCAACTTTTTAGGCAGTGGAACGATGACGGAAGCCTTGAGACAGACGGGAACTGCGCATAGTGTCAGGGATCGATTAAAAATTACAGTCCATATCCCGGCTAGCTGATCAGCACAGTCTTTTACCACCCGACCAGGAATTAAGTCGGGTCCAGCTGCTTTTCTGGAGTTAACCACTTTCATAGTCTGTCTCACATCCTGCTCATTCACAATGAAGGGGGGACTCTGCTGAGTAAATGATGGCAAACGAACAGTTTCAGTTTGATCGATCTCGAATCGAGCAAAAAAGTTGTTCAACTCCTCAGCCACCTCCAC